GTGGGAGGTGGTGCCTAACGCTAAGCGGAGACTCGTCTTTTCTATACTGGGGCAAAAAAGTGTTCATCTGAGTTAATATTTTGGAAGAGCTGAAACAGTGGCTGTCACAGAACAACTCAGTCTGTGCGCGCCATGCTCCCGTAACAGCGCTGTCGAGGAGAGGAGTTTGGTCACGTGAGCAAAGTTGGACATATCTGTTAGAAAACGATGCTCTGAACACATAAACTTATAGTGGGTTTGATTTTAGATAACAACGTCTCGGGTAGCTCAGTAGCGAAGTGTGGAGGATGGAGTTTGCTCACTCAGGACAGGAGCTGCAGGCTAGTGATGTGCAGATTGAGACTGAAATATCAATACTATTGATACCAGAACTTTATGTTATAGAATCCATACTAAAATCAAAATATCAATACTTTGATACTTTATTTCCCACTATTTTCCTGTTAATGATGTACATTATGTGAAAAAACTAAACTATTCCAATCTTGTCTAAATCATATGTGGTTGGAGGTAACTAGTTTTTCTCCCGCTTGGGTAATGCATCAGCACAGCGGCCTGTGCTCAGTCAGTCACTCAGTCTGTAGATGTACGGCAGGTCATTTTAACATAAAATCTGCTTTGTCTGACTGTCTGTAACTACATTCTAGATGAGGGGTTCCCAAACGTTTTCATGCCACGCCCCCCAAAAAAGCATTAGCTCTGGCCAGACATCTTCTTGCAAACCCTCAAACAATGCTACAAAATATACAAATTAACAACTTTTAGATTTTTTTCTCACATTTATTCACTATTCAAAAATTATTATATTTCTTTAGAAAAAGAAATTTAATATGTGGAGGTAGGGTTAGGGTTAGAAAGACTTTTAAAATATTAAATAAATTACAATGTCATGTATTATTTATAAAGCGGTTATTTGAAAAACACTACTTTTTAAGATTTACCAGACACATTATGTGTGTTAYCACAWAGTATCGGTATCGGATCAGCATCGCCGATACCAACTAAATTTTACTCGGTATCAGTACTGGAAAGAAAATTGGCAGTGTCGAACATCACTACTGCAGGCTCACTGGTATTTATCCTGCTAACTGCTGCACCGACATCAGAAAGACCCACCCTGCTCTGCTCTGATTGGATAAAGCTGTAGAGTTTGTTTGATCTGTTGAAAACAGCGTTTGTTTAAACCTGTATCAGACTGGGCGGTTTTAACGAGACTGCAACAGAAAATAAGCAGGTTCTCCAACACGGGCAATTTGACGTCGGTCATGAAATTAGCATATCATGATATAATTTATTTTCCAAGTTTTTGCAAGTTTTTTTTACTGGTATTGTCCTGAATGATATGATATGATATGGCCCAGCCCTACTCTGATGCTTTTCTCTTCTCAAAGGTGTTACGGAACGATGTCATGTCTCATGTTCGCACGGTTGAGTCTCTGAACCAGGCTGGCAGGAAGCTGCTGGAGGCCGGTTCTGGAGATGGCACACATGGTCTGCAGTCACAGCTGGAAGAGCTGAATGAAAGTTGGGAATTTGTTCGGTGTGAGACTGAACGAAGGCAGCTGGAACTGGAGAACAGATTAAGTCAGGTGAAACAACTTTTTTGTTTATTAGAATTACAGCAAATGCTAGATGTCAGTGTGCTCATAAATACCCACATGTTCATACAATGCATGTCAATAAGCAGTTATCACCTGTTGCTGTCTGTAGTTTCAAAATGCTGTTTGATGATGACCTCTGGTGGTAGATTTCTTTCTTTTTCTTCTAAACAAGTTTTAGTAAAAGGTTTCATGGCAGTGAGTTTACATGAATAACATTTTACAGTCTTCATATGAAGAAAGTCCTGGGCTCAGATTTATAAGATTGCGTGGAAACCATACTAAAAGTGAACGTACGGCCAAAACGCAAAAATGGCGTATGCCAAAAAAAAAAAAAAAAAAAAAAAAAAAAAAAAAATTCAGCTTTATAAAGCCGTGCATACGCATGTTTCTGCGCACCTTTCAATTTTAGATCACAGCCGCACCTCAGAGTCTGCGCACAAGGTCACGCTTCAGGTTCTGCCCTCTACTCGTCCACACTCAACCACAAACAGTCAATGCAAAGTACCTCATGAATGTTAAGGTGTATTTTCTGTAAATCAGTCAGCTGATCAATGTAAAAAAAAGATTGGCCAGTTCAGACATGCTCCATCGTGCGTCGACAGGTGCTGACAACTGCTCACGTGAACAGATTGTCTGTAATTGACACAGCTTTTCCCTCATTTTGCAGGTTTACAGACGTTTAGAGTAATCTAATGATTTTTTTTCAAAAACTCAGCTTCAAATTCATTTTCTCTCAGAGCCTGCAGGATGATAAAAACAATAAATAAAATGAAATAATGAAATAAACTACCTCTTCTCCCCTGTCACTCCATCTCCTGCCTGTTACCTGCGGCTGACCGTCCCCCCACCAGGGGGCTGAGTAGCAGCGGGCCCCCAGATAAACCAGCAGGAGGGGCAGCCCAGACCGCAGTCTGACAAATACCCAAACATACACATACACAATCGCACCATCCCACCCTCACCCTCACCTCCACTCAATCAAAGACATACAAGGACGCCACATTCCACTCATACCCCCGATACACACTCTATAACCCCCACGTCCAGGACATGCACCCACCCCCTATTGGAGGCAGCACACACCTGAACCCAAGAGGTAGACCCAATCATTCTGAGGTGGAGAGAAGCAGATAGCCAAGGCCCGGCCCGGGCCGCACCAGGACACCCGGCCAGCCCCCCGCCGCAGAGAAGCCATGCCCATGGCCACCCCACCACACCGCCAACGGCCAAGTGCACCCCCCCAGCCGACCACCCCCCGGAACCCGGCAGCCACCCCAGCCAGGGGGCCACCCACAGGAACGTGATGAATGAGATGAAGATGAGATGAATCTTCAAGCTGAGGTGTTGAGGGGATCCGTTTTGGTGACCTTAGGATCGCATCTCTACTTTTTGCGGATGATGTGGTCCTGTTGGCTTCATCAGAATGAGATCTGCAGCTCTCGCTGGAGCGGTTCGCGGCCGAGTGCGAAGCGGCCGGGATGAGGCTCAGTGCCTCCAAATCHGAGGCCATGGTCTTGAGCCGGAAAAGGGCAGAGTGCCTTCTCCGGGTCAGGGGGGTCGCCCTGTYTCAAGTGGAGGAGTTTAAGTATCTGGGGATCTTGTTCACGAATGGGGGAAGAACGGAGCGGAAGATCGACTGGCAGATTGGCGCAGTGTCTGCTGTAAAGCGGGCGCTGTACAGGTCTGCAGTGAAGAGAGAGCTGAGTCAGAAAGCGAAGCTCTCGATTTACCGGTTGATCTACGTTCCTACCCTCAGCTATGGTCATGAGCTTTGGGTCATGACCGAAAGAACGAGGTCCCGGATACAAGCGGCCGAAATGGGTTTCCTCCGCAGGGTGGCTGGGCTCTCCCTTAGAGATAGGGTGAGAAGCTCAGTCATCCGGGAGGGACTCAGAGTACAGTAGAGCCGCTGCTCCTCCATGTCAAGAGGAGCCAGTTGAGGTGGCTCGGGCATCTGGTAAGGATGCCTCCTGGACGCCTCCCTGGTGAGGTATTCCGGGCACGTCCCACCGGGAGGAGGCCCCGAGGAAGACYCAGGACACGCTGGAGGGACTATGTCTCTCGGCTGGCCTGGGAACGCCTTGGAGTTCCCCCGGAGGAGCTGGAAGAAGTGGCTGGGGAGAGGGAGGTCTGGGCCTCCCTTCTGAAGCTGCTGCCCCCGCGACCCGACCCCGGATAGGCGGAAGGAAATGGATGGATGGATGGTTGTGTGTTTAGATAATTGTTAAAAACACAGTTAATTGGAAGAACTGCAGATTTTAACCAATTTATAGAGTAGTCAGAAACTTTTGAAAAAGAGTTTATTAATTCAATAACTTTAGATATTGAATTTTCCGAGTGTGGTTCTAATTCCTCACTTCACCATCTGTGTCGCAGTATCACGTCTCCAAAATGAGCATTCGCATGGGTCAGAGCTGGAGTGAGGGACCCCACATTTTCATGTCAAGTTTGGATTTTATAAATCACAACCTTGGTGTTGAAAAGTGGCGTACACAAGTTTCTGGGCTCCTTTTTTGCATACGCAAGCTTTATAAAGCTGACCACTGCTCATTTATCATTGCTGATCAATTGTATGCCCTTATTTAAAGCACACCACCATGTTTCAAAAGCTCAGTTTCAAATGTATTTAACATATCAGAACAAGTAGGACCTTAACAAATCAATAAATAATATCAAATAACCATCTTCCAACCCGCTCTGCTGCTATAAATTAGTTCTCCCGTCCTCATTTCCTCCTGTTTTGTGCTTCAGGTGCTGTCATATCCTCTGCCAACAGTCCGCCTGCACCCCACCCCCCACCCCCATGTTTGATTAATACAGATTGTTTTTCTGAAAATTACAGCTTTTTGAGGCTCATTATACAGGTAAACGTCTGAAGGGGTTGACGTGTATGATGTTTTATTTTATTACAGGTGCAGGATGTTACCATGGAGATTCAGGACCTTATACAGTGGCTGGAAAACACAGACCTCAGACTGTCTTTGTCGAAAACAACTTGGGGCATGCCTGATTCTGCAAGTGAACGGCTCAATGCACACTTGGTAACATTTAAGTATCATTGAAATACAAAACACAAAATGTAGTCACTGAAGCTAGCATTTTTTTCTTTAATTTAAAACAATTATTTATTAACTCTGTTGATTTTCTTATCCACAACAGGAGCTGTGCAATGAGATGGAATCAAAGCTTCATGCGTACACACGTGTGAACAATGCTATTCACAGGATGCTGGAGCAGAGTGACCTTGTGCGAGGGTCATGCACAGAACACAACTTATCTATTCTTGAACAAAAGTGGACATCTGTTTATAGCAAAGTTCAGGACCGCAAAGTAATTTAATTTACTGATACTCGTTATGTAAATTAAATTTATTTTCAAAGCATTTCATCATGAATATAAGTACATTATTAATACTTAATGAGATGTCCTGATGCATCTCAGTAATCCAGGTAGAAAAATCTAAAAGAAAAAGAAGTAAGTCCTCTGGACGGGTTCTTCTTTAATGAAACGCTTCGTCTCCCCTCTGAGAGGCTTCTTTTGTCTGAGGAGTTTCAGGTGAACCCAGCCTTATAAGCACTGCCTCCACATGGTGGACAAACAGGTTAGTCACATGCAAAAGAGGGACATCAGCCTAATGATAGGTTGTTAGTGCCTCCTCAGACTGAAGAAGTTTCTTGGAGGAGAGACAAAATGTTTCATTAAAGAAGAACCCGTCCAGAGGACATACTTATTTTTCTTTTTGAACTTAATGAGATATTTTACTTGCAGGCAAAGCTGATAGAGGGGCTGAGTCTGGCCAAGGAGTTTCACAGTATTGTCCAGGAAATTCTAACAAAGATGAATGAATGTGAAGAGTCTATTGGGTTTCTTCCTCCTCCCAGCTTTGTTCTGGACACAGTTTCCACACAGCTGCTAGAACATAGAGTAAGATTATTGAAGTTTTTTTAACATGTACTTTACTTCTGCTTCTGGTTTGTTGTTTATTCATAACAATGTCCTTATCCTCACAGAAGTTGGTGAATGAGGTTAACAGTTACAGTGAGAAGAAGACCACAGTGGAGAATGCAGGCCGTAGGCTGACAGAGCTGAGTAGGAAGGAAGACTGTGATGTCATTCATAACCTAATTATGACTGTTCAGGATCGATACAAAAAGCTTCAGCAGCGAGCGTCAGAGAGAGGCCGGATGCTGGAGGAGGTTAAAAAGAATGTTAAACAGGTATAGGAGCACTTATTTTCAATGTAAAAGAATATCTTTCATCATTGTTAAACTAACACCTTAAGTGGACCAAGTGCTGCTGAGAGAAAGAGTAGCATAACATTTCTTTTAATTTCTCATATTTCAGTTTATTGAATCCTGGCGCCTCCTTGTGGACTGGATGACAGAGATTGAACAGACAATAGATACGCATAAAGAGATTGCTGTGTCTCATGAGGAAATAAAGCAACAGCTGACTGAACAGAAGGTGCAGATATCCCCAGAAGCAATTTAACTTGTAGGTCCACTGGTTATTTTTCAGAACTGAATATATATATTATTTAATCCTTGTTTCCTCTTGTAATTAGGAGTTTCAGAAACTGCTGAGACTAAAGAGGCCCATGTATGAAGCCACGATGAAGAGCGGTCGCACCCTCCATGACAGAGCTCAGAGCAATCATGACAGGCAGCATTTGGAGAACCTGCTGGCTGAACTCAAAGACACATGGGACACCATCAGCGGCAAGTCTATTGAAAGGTAGGGACAGGTCGTGAATGTATTTTACAGGGGGGTCAAGCTGAGTTACAGATTGGGAAGGGATGGCAGTGGCACTTGTAAACAGCCGAAGAAGAAGAAAAAAAGCTATTGTTTTATGAGTTTGTCAAAATTTAGTGGGACATATTATGCAAAATTCACTTTTTTAGTTAAATACATTTTGTTGCGAACGTGGAGTCTGTTGGAGTGAAGAAAATTTGAATTTCGTATCTCCCGTTACTGCAAAGATACAGTGGGTTGTGAAAGTTTGGGCAGCCTTGTTAGATTTCCTGATTTACCTTTATAAATCATTGATTGTTTGGATAAAAAACATATGTAACATATATCATATAGGGGACAAACACAGTGGTATTTGAGAAGTGAAATGAAGTTTATTTGATTTACAGAAAGTGTGAAACAATTGGTTAAACAAAATTATGTAGACGCATAAATTTGGGCACCAAAGGAAAAAAAAACACCTTAACTCAACATTTAGTAGATCCTCCTTTCACAGAAATAACAGCCTCTAAACACTTCCTAAAGCTTCTAATGAGAATCTCGATTGTGGCTGAAGGTATTTTAGACCATTCTTCTTTACAAAACATCTCTAGTTCATTCAGGTTTGATGATTTCTGAGCATGGACAGCTCCCTTTAAGTGACACCACAGATTTTCAATAATATTCAGATCTGGGGACTGAGATGGCCATTCCAGAATGTTGTACTTGTTCCTCTACATGAATGCCTTAGTAGATTTTGAGCAGTGTTTATGGTCGTTGTCTTGTTGGAAGATCCAGCCCCGGCGAAGCTTCAGCTTTGTCACTGATTCCTGGACTCCAGAATCTGCTGATATTGATTGGAATCCATGCGCTCCTCAACTGTCACAAGATTTCCAGTCCCTGTACTGGCCACACAGCCACACAGCATGATGGAACCACCAAATTTTACTGTTGGTAGCAGGTGTTTTTCTTGGAGTGCTGTATTCTTTTTCCTCCATGCATAACAGCCCTTGTTATGCACAAATAACTCTATTTTGGTTTCATCAGTCCACAACACCTTATTCCAAAATGAAGCTAACTTGTTCAAATGTGCTTTAGCATACCTGAAGTGGCTCTGTCTGTGATGTGGGTGGAGAAAAGGCTTCCTCTGCATCACTCTCCCATAAAGCATCTCCTTGTGTAAAGTGTGCTGAATAGTTGAACGATGCACAGGGACTCCATCAGCAGCAAGATGATGTTGTAGGTCTTTGKTGCTGTCTGTGGGTTGACTCGGACTGTTCTCAACATCCTTCGCTTCTGTTTATTCCAGATTTTTCCTGGTCTGTCATGTTGAGCCTTGACTTGAACTGTGCCTGTGGTCTTCCATTTTCTCACAGTGTTTCTCACAGTGGAGACTGAAAGCTGAAATCTCTGAGATAGCTTTCTGTATCCTTCCCCTAAACCATGACAGTGAACAATCTTTGTTTTCAGGTCATTTAAAAGTTGTTTTGAGAATCCCATTTTGCGACTCTTCAGAGAAGATGCAAAGAGGAGAAAAACTTACAATTGCCCCCCTTAAATATCCTTTCTCATAATTGGAGTCACCTGTGTATGGAGGTCAGGGGTCACTGAACTTACCAAACCAAATTTGAGTTCCAATAATTGTTCTAAAGGTTTTGAAATCAATAAAATGACAACTTATCTGAGCAGACCTGGAAAACTTCACTGTCTGCCTGTTAGCGACTGTTAGCAATGTCTGGAGTGAGCATCTGCTACAGCCTGGATATCCATGCCGCAGATCGAGTGCTTACCCCGGTCAAAGGACAGTGAGCTGGGCTTGGGCTCCATGTCCTTGGAGAGGAGCCAAACCCACTGTGCCTAAATGCATACCTGTATTATCAGGCATAAAAATGGCTGATGAGCCTTCCAACCTACTAGGATGTAGAAGCGGGACATTCTGTGCACACAATGTATGATACCGATAACTGCTAATAATGGCCATTTAATGTATTGACAACATTCTAAGCTGGTGCAAGAAGAAACAAAGATTTCTGATGACAAAGATTTCTGATGTGTGGAAAAAAATTGTTTTGCAAAAAATTTGATTTTTTTTTTTTGAATAAAATATATATTTTTGTTTGGATGAAATTACTTTTTTTGGTTGAAATTTTTTGATTGAAACTGCTTTTTTTGTTTGATTGAATTTAAAAAATCCTCTTTACAGCATAGATCACAATTATTGGCAAATGTCCAAGTTTGTAACTTAGGTGATGACATCATCTAGAGTCTTTTAGGACAGCCAATAGAGACTTTTCTTACTGAGGAGATGACAACAGTCGTCAGTGACTTGAAATCTCACTCTCAGATCAGATCAGAAGCTCAGATCAAAACTTGAGAGCCCTGTGAATGATTGAAATTCAATTCAGTTTAATTCAAAAATATCTTATTGATCCCAAAGGAAAATTACTGTTCAGAACAACACATTCAAGAGAGACAAAACAAATACAAAAACCTGAATCATATAAATGAGAGAACAAATGCCCCAGGTCCTGTAGCCATAAAGAGGCACTACCTTTGCATTAGAAAAAAAATAGCCAACATGAGGATAGATGAGGGTAAAAAAAAAAGGAACGTCTCATGCTATGTCCTCTCAGGACACAATTTGAGGTTACATAAAAAAAACAAACTCTGCACTGAGCGTTAAGGGTAGGAGGTAGGGGAGGCATAAGGGGTGAACATGTGTGGGGTATGGGTGAGGGGGATAGAGGGAAGCAGAGGGATGGTGTCAGTGAAGGCAGTAAGTTAAGAGGAGGATGTATCTGAAACCATGACATTTTGTATGTTCATGTGTGAACATCTGTGGAATAAAACTGTGTAACCAGTCCACAAACAGCCCCGCCCAGCCATAGTCTCAGAATTCTGATGTTGTGTTCATCTGCTCTGCCTTTGGTTGCTTTCAGACTCCAGTTCACAGACATAAGTGGGAGGAGGGATAGGGCAGAGCATCAGTTGACATAACCTCCAGGAGAGTTTGAGATATCCAGCCTCCAAGGTCACGTAGGGGTGCCAAATTCAAATAATCACTATTTGTTTTGGTGCAGCCTGGCACTGTTGATTTACTTGTCAGTCTTCATGTCTCACTAGAACTCTCAATGGAGAATTCCAATCAGCCAAATTTCTTGGTTCAAGATCTATACCATAATTTCCACCAGCAGGCTTGGGACCCACAGCTGGCCTGTAACCCTCAGCAAGGATCCCCTCTGGTTTGCAATTCTGCTCCAAAAGTGTCTGAGTGTTGACAGCTCGGCATATTCTTTCACACAGGCCAGGCAGCCTCAACAAGGCCCGAATAGCTGCTGACACTTGACAAATTTCATGATAGGCCAGGTATCCACAAGCTCCAGTAAGCAGATATCCTGTTCTCAATAATTTAATTATGTAGACATCTTCAGTGTCCTCGACTAACAGCACATCGTCTTTCACTCACTCCAGGAATCCCTAACATGTCCCATCAAGACATGTTATTTCCCAGTCTTTTTGTAGAAAAAAAATTGATCAATAGCATTGAGTTAGCTGACCAGATCCATAATTTCCAGTTTTGGAAGATATGCAAGATGGGCTCCAAAAAGATAAGATAAGATAAGATAAGATAAGATAAGATAAGATAAGATAAGATAAGATA